ATCTTCCTGGTCGAATGCACTTATTGTAAGTCGCTTTGGATAAAAGCGTCAGCTAAATGCAATGTAATTTAATGTAATGTAATGGTCCAGACATAGACATCAAACGGCAAAACACATTCAGTGTGCAGTTCCTTTGGCATTAGGGCAGGGATATCTAGATACTTTCCAAATGTTGACATAATGAATTGTGCTTCTTTTAAAGCAAGCAACGATGTTTTCAAATCTGTAATCAAAGTGGTCCGCAAAAACCCTATCGACCAATCAGATAACTTGATTTGACTTGTCAGTTTTATAAATATATTTACATTTCTTCCGTTACGAAACAAACTTACAGAGCTCAAGATGGAAACATGTAAGGGATAATGTGCTGCGACGCGGTCATTATGCCGCTTCGCGTCTGGCCGAACCACGCCCCTTAGCTGTGATATAATGAGCATATACCATGGCCTGTCGTGAGCTATTGCTTAAGTGTATCTTGATGGAGATATGGATTAAGATGCCAAAAAATAACTTCTAAACAATCAGAGAGAGAATTCCCCGGAGGATTGATAGTAAACACAGATATTTCTGGACCGACGGTTCAAGGTGGAGAAAGAAACAAGAGAAAGAAAGAGCAAGAAAGGTACCACGCTTTACTTGTAGGACACAAAGACAGAGCGTCAGAGATATATAATCTACTTCAAAGCATAAGGTATATTGTGACCATCATTTATAAAATGTCAGGTATGCACATAGTGACTTAAGAAACAGCCTCTTCATGCACCTTATATCACGTCAGCAATAATGGGTTTGTGATGTTGTACTCCCTTATACAAACTGTGAACAACGTTGGCAGTTGGCATTACCACACGTAGTGGGGTGGTTAATTGTTTTAAGAGACAAAAGAATAACATATTGATTATATAACAATCATCAACAGGAGCAAACTGAACCTCCTGATATTGTGGTGGGGGAATCAGAGTGTATCATAATAAATCCATTACGCAAGGCATGACCCTCTAACTGCTTATGACAACTTTATGTAAACTCACTGCAGGAGGGTCATTTACATTCAGTTTTACATACAGTGCTTAACAAGCTCCTAATCATCGGTAGCAACAAGATGTCATGTCTGGAACACATTTGCTTAAAAGTGCATATGTTAACCTTTTTACTCATCGACCTCAATCCACAGCGTGAGTCACTATTATTATTTAACACTGAGCATTGCCATGTTTCTCCTGATATGGCCATTAACTTCTCTTGTTTAAAAAAAAAAAAAAAAGATTCAGTCCATCCGCTCTTGAGTTTTAGTAAGAGAGCAGCTTGTAGAAATTGTCACCCCTCATGATTATTTTCTTACAGGCTGTTGTTTCGTCTATCAGGGTCGTTGCTTATTGTCCACATTAGTCTCTGTGCTGTGGCCCCTGGCTGAAGTGTCAGTTAGCGCAGGTGTGTGTTTTTCCTCTCCTCGTCCTCGTACGTTATGTTCTTGGACAACCTGCCATTAAGTTACACGAATAAACAACATTTTCAAACACATATTTAGCTTCGAACAGGCAGCTCAGCTCCTCATTGTGGGGTTCTGATGGGCTATTTCTCATGGTTGGGTTTTTGCACCCTACCATTACTCCTCAGGATTGAAATTCCCACTTGCTCAGATGCCGGATATTTTCTTAAACTTCAGACATTTGCAACACCCTTGAACATTTTGACATACTATTTTATTATAATTATAACAACTATTGTTTGTAAATTGTAAAAAAATATCTTTACTCTTCAATCTTTCTAGAATTTCACTTTTCAAAAATATCCTGATGAAGGAAAATAAGAAGACTGGACTACAGCAGGTCCCTTTGATATAAATCATAATAATGAATGGGCCACTCTTTCAAATCACAAAGATCTAACAGTTCAATTCAAGCTAAAATAAAGTTTTTTTTGTACTATGGTGAAGTTTGACTAAGACTGTTTACAACCATTATTAGTTTGGATGTTTAGATGGCCAGTGTACTGTTTTCCTAGCACATAGTAATGTCTCTTTTTGTTTTGGGTTAACATTGAAACCACAACATGTTTGTATGCTCACTCAGTAACATTTTCAAACAAATGATTCACTAACGAGGGGGATGAAACAGTTTGAGTCATCACCCTTCATTCAGTCAGTTAATCATGTTCTTTTTTCCAGACACTGTTATGAACCTAAATAGCTTTTTAAGGACTCAAACTCTCTCCCATTATAATTTATGCCATATTCATATTCGTTGTTGTCACTAGGAATGCTTTTACGTACGTGTTCGTGCATGCGTGTGTGCGTGAATGTGTGTGATGATGTCCATATGTGTGTGCAGTGATGATGTTTCTGCCTCTTGACCTGCCCAGTTGATTCTCAGTCTGAACTGCCATGTGGAGCCGATGACTCTATCCAGGGAACACAATCTGACATTAACAAAGAGTCCTGTCTAACGTTCCCTCTTCCACTTCTTGAATGTTCTTGGCCGGTACTTCACTAGACCCTTTTGTAACCTATTCCTTACATAGATATACAGCTGTTTGTCATAAAAAAAGGTTCTCCTTAAATGGTGGACCAGTTTGAGTGTCACCAGAAGCAGATCCAACTGGAAGACTGTGCAGTAAACCACATTCGACACAAACAAGTTGCTTCTTTCTTTGTTTCTTCTCCTCCTTTGCTGCATTTGCCTGCCTCATACTGAATAGGACTTTATGTTGTTCAATTCTTAATAATACAGAGATCCTTCTTTTTCTCAAACGGGAATACCAATATCCTTTTTATACGAATGGCAAACATTTATAAAAACATGTATCATTAACCAAGGAAGCCATATCATCTGTTAAAGTTGTACACTCACAGTAATACAGAGCTCTTTTTTTTTTTTTACCAATTTC